GAAAGAGGGAGGAGAAAGTGGTATAAACGGGCCCGTCTCGGTACAGCGTCCCTGGGAGGTGCCCCCAGGATTGCAGCCCTGTCCTCTCCCCTTGAGGGAGCAGCAGTTTGAGACCACGAAGAGCCAGAGCCTGGGCCCAGGGGACTTTCTCCTCCATTTGGGTGACTGGAGGCCTGACCTCAGGGGACCCAACAAGTTCCCGCTATCCCCAGAGAGGCCAGCAGGGGGAGCCGCGAGACAGGGATGAGCTCTGCAGGTGGGTGGGCTTGGCAGAGAGCCCAGTTGAGAACCTGGGTAGATCTAGGGGCAGAGAGGACACTGCGGCCTGGGTTCTTCCCGCTGGGGCTTGTGGGTCCCCTGGAGCAAAGCTGTCCTTGCCACGCTCAGGCCTGGAGTGGGCCGGGTATCACAGGGCGCAGGCAGAGGGTGCCTCTGAGCAGCCCGCTCAGTTTGGCAGCTGCCCTGGGCCTGGGAACAGAGTGGCCGGATTCGGATCCAGGCCACCGGGGCTTAGAGCTCTGACTGGCTGCCCACCTGGGCTTGGGCCCTGCAGCAGGCAGCAGGACAGGGTCCTTCTGTACCCCACGGCAGGATGCAGCCCTCCAATGGCCTGGAGCCTGGCCCAGTCCAGAAGGACCACCTCTCACTCCCGCCCAGGGACCACTGCTCTGAGCTCCTCCCCTAAATGGCCGTCATAAGGGGCATGAGATAGGACGACCCTGGAGGCCCATTGCAAGTGAGGTGGCCATCCTTATGTCCTGGGACTATAAGGGACTTGCCCAAGTCACCCAGCAGGCAGGGCCCCCACGCAGTGGAGTGTCCACCCCGCTGTTCAGCCAGGCCTCAGCCGGGCCTCAGAAGGCACCAAGGCGGCAGGCAGCTTGCCCATATCACACAGCAGCTCAGGGTCGACCCCGGCCTCCAGCCCCATTTATCCCCATGAGGAGGGGAGGGCTCCAATCCCCTTCCCCAGCTGCTGAGCATCCACTGCGAGGTCGATTGGCCTCGGCCGAGGGTCGGGCTCTGGGGTGGGAGAGGGGGTACAGCAAGGAGACTGACTCTGGGTGGCGTGTGATGGGCGCTCAGGGCAGTAGGCATGAGGATGGCGGTGGGGAGACCTGCCGGGACCTGGTGCTGGGGCGGGTTCAGGCAAGAGGGTGGGTGATGCTGGAGGGGGGCCCGGATTCTGACCTGGCTTCTGGGCTCAATGACATTGCCACCAGGGCGAGTCTGAGGCGACAAGTGCAGGGGCGGGGCGAGCCGCAGTGTCCCAGGTATATTTCCCAGAGGGTAGGAAGCAAGGGCTGGAGCTGGGCAGGGCCATGTGAGGGGCAGGCCCTCCCGGCTCTGCTGTCACCAGCCTCCTGTAGAAACTGAGGACCCTTTCAGGTCTCTGGGACATGCCTGGAGTTCCATGAAAGGGCTCTCATCTTCCCTGAAGGTACCTGCTGCCTGAGGCCTTGCCCGACATGAAAGGCCCGGCTTGGCCTTCCTGGGGCACCTCCCACACAGAGACCACCACCCAGAGCCCAGGGGCCCGGGTGGAAGACCACAGCCAAGTTAGGACCAGCCCCACGGGAATCAAAGCCCTCCTGGCTCTGCCGTTCCCAGCCTCCTGCAGAAACTGACCCCGTCCTTCCCCAGGCATGATCTCACCAGTGTGGGCAGCAGTGGGTGTGGGGACTCAGCCCAAGAAAACCAGACTGCAGGCCTCATGATGTCACCGTGGCCTGGCTGATTAGCCAGGACACCAACCTCCTGCTCCAGAGAATAGGGAGCTTGGCGCTTATATGACCCTCATGCAGGGAAATCCCCATGGGCTCCCTCCCACTGAGTCAGAGTGTAGACTGAGGGGAGAGGAGGCGGGAAACTTCCTGGTAACCTTGTAACCTTCTGGCCTTCTGCCTCACCAGCCCAGCCAATCATAGCAATCCCTTTCTGCTTGGCCAAGGACTCACTATCCCAGTTCCCTTACAACTAGGAGGGGGTCATATAAAGCAGCACTGGCCCATGAGACATGAGGCTGTTGGGTGCACTGCCTTACCCTTCGCCTCCTACCTCTGAACATAATGTGACGGTGTGATGCCTTGAGCTGCAGCAGCCACTTTGTAACCATGAGGCACCAAACATGAGGACAAAAGCCAGTTCACAGAGGGGAAGACTGTGAAGGGCCTGGGCTCCTGGGCCAACAAAACAATGCTAAGAACCTATTCCTAGATTTCTCATTGAACAAATGGCAAATGTCCTTATGGAATAAATTAGCACTGGCTGGATTTCTGCCATTTGTATTCTTGACACATCAAACTTCTTGTCTGAGGGAGAAGGTTTGATGTCCAGGCCTCTGGGCTGGTGCTCTATGACAGCTGCCTAATTTCTGACTCCCTGGCTGGGGTCTGTATATTTGGCTGTGCTTTAACTCTGTCTTCACTTACCTGACCCTTAGCTGCTGACCTGAGCTGACCCGAGCTCCAAGTCGTCTCTGACTCCTGCAGGCAACCCCCTGAGGTTGCTAAGTTGTTCTGGTAACTGGTCCAACTTGTACCCCCTCCCTGCTCCCTGACTCAGACTGCCAAAGCTCCCAGTGACTTTGTGTCTTTGGGGACACAGGGCATAGATCAGGCAGGTGGGCAGCTGGGAGGTGGCCCGGGGAAGACGCAGGAGCTGTCAGGAGTCTCCCAGCCCCTGGGAATTCAGAAACTGTGAGAGGAGGTGGGGCTGCAGAGCTGGGCTCCTCTCCTGGGTCTACCTCTGCACACGCCAGACTCAAGCTACTTCCCTGGCTCCCGCCCACAGGAGCTGCCTGAGTTCAGCCCACCAGTCTCAAAACAACAGTGGGGCCATGAGAAGCAAAAATGTCCATTTCCACTTTACAGGTGAGCAGACAGACCCAGAAGGACTTGCCAAGGTGGAGTGGTGCTGGGGTGGGAATCCTGGGCCTGGCTCTTCAAGGTCCCGAGGTTCTCTGAGAGGTCACAGCTGTATCCTCAGGGTCACAGAGCGAGTCGTACCTTGGCCTGCTGCTGTGACCGAGGTGTGGGGCCCTCGCTAGAGGAAGGTATCAGAGCTAGATGGGCTGGGAGAAGGGGGTTGCTCGGGGTGGGGACACTGGCCAGGGTTAGGAGGGCAGGGAGGCAGGGACAGCCGGCTATGCACCTGTCCTCCTCAGAGCTGTGCCTTTGCAGACCTGGTGCTGGGCCGGGGCCAGAAGCCGGCAGCTGTGCAAAGCACTCAGGGGCCTCAGGGCTTGGAAGATGTTGACCGGTGGGACCTGGTCTGGAGGTGCTGCCTCTTCCCAAATCTCGGGTGCCAGAAGTTCACCCTGGGACTTTCCCCAGCCTGTCCCCCACTCTTCCTAGGGCTGTCCAGCCCTGCCCCAGCCTGTGTGGCCACGTTTGCTCCCTGGAGCCTCTACCCTCATCCCCCCACACCCCTGAGAGCCACTGAGCCCAAGGAGGGTGGCCAGTCTTCCAGACCAGCCAGTGCCCGGGGCGGGCACTGTCCACCGCAGAGGGCTGGAGGACGAGGGAGGCTGTGTGCCCTGAGGTTCCCGGTGCCCCACACTCCTGTGCCTTCGTCTGTAAGAGGGCAGCTGCGATGTGGTACAGACAATAACCTGGGCCAGCACTTGGCCATCTCCAAGCCAGGCGCCACGCACGCCTGAGGCCCAACAGCCCCGCGAGGCTGGTGCTCTGCCTGATCCTACAGTAAGATGGGTGTTCAGGGACAGCCGCCCAGATAGCGGGGGCAGAAGGCAGGGCCAAGGGGCAGTGTGTGCACCATATGTGTATGCATGTGCATATATACACACACATGTGTGCATGTGTCTGTATATGTGTGGGCATGTGTGCATGTATGTATATGTGCATGTAGGTGTGCATATGAGCTAGTGCATATAGGTGTGCATGAGTGCACACACGTACATGTGTATGCCTTCATATGTGTTAGTGTGTTTGTGTGCAAATATGCATTTTACACATGTGTGCACATGTGTGTGCATGCTTGTGTGTGTGTCTTGTGTGCATTCATGTATCTCGGTACATGTGCATTTATGTATATGTATGAGGTGACATCAAAAAGTTTGTTGAGGGACCAGCATGTAGCATGGTACTTAAGGTGCTGAACTCCCACGTGGTTGAATGTGGTTCAAGTCCCTGACCTGGTGGCTTGAAAATGGCGCAGGCACGTGTGCATGTGTGCCCAAAATCTTGAGAGGAGAAAGGATTGCAGCATGCCATCCCCCAGGGGATGATTTCTTTCTTTCCCTCTCTATCTCCCTCTGTCTCTCTCTGGCAAACAAATAAAAATAAATAATAATAAAGTTCATTGAAAATTGAAGCATAAGTTTATTTTGGTGCAAAAAATGTTGATATCTGTGCATGTGCACAGTTTTTCATAACATGCATTTCCTATGATCCTTTCGAAGAACTCTTCTATGTGTGCATGTTTATGTGTGCACATCCACGTGCAAATACACGGATGTGGGTGTGTGCACACAGTGTATGTATGCACGTGTGTATGTGCACATGTGGTCCCATGACTCTTTGGGGTGAGGCACAGCCAATATCTGGGCCTGCTCTGGGGGGACTCTTGCTGGCCAGGCCTCCAGTCCCCCTCTGGACTCCAGCCCCCTGCCAGCTGGCCTCGTTTACCTGCTTCCTTCTGGGCAATGCCACCTGCTCTAGCCATGCAGTTCTGTCCAGGAGAGAGCTCTGCTTCTGGGTCAGATGACTCTGATCTGCCCTGGGGACCAGGTGACCCGGCAGTTCCTGCTGCCCCATGAGGCCCCATGGAGATTTGGAGGCATCCTGGCCCCCCAGGCCTGTTCCCCTCCAAACCTTTTTAGCCAATTGCCTGCTCACCTGGCCCTCTGGGTGTGGAGGAGGATGAGGCTGTCCTCCTCAGGGACAGATACTCTTGGTGCCCGCACACCCCGCAGCCCCACAGGCTCTGACTTCTGTCTGCAGACACCCAGAACTCCGCTGAGGGCTTTCTCTGGCCGGAGGACTGTGCTTGGTGGGAGGGTAGGAAATAGCACCCTGGAGCAGCTCACCCAGCGAGGGACAGGAGAGACCTCCGGGCTCCCAGTGTGCTCTACCTTATCTCCTGGAGAGACCTCAGAGGGAGGCCCAGGCACGCCCACGGGCAACCTGCCCATTAACACACCTGTGCCACGCACGCCCTCCCCTTCCTCTCTCCTGCCTGGGGCCACTCCCCAAACAGTTACTTGCTACCTTCCTCTCTCCTGCCTGGGGCCACTCCCCAGTTACTTGCCTTATTGGGGTCCTGCAGCCTCAGGGTGACTCTGCCCAGGACCTGCTCCTCCTCCACCCCCCTGCAGTTTCCTGACATTGGATTTTTTTTCCCAGCAGCTCCTCTGCCCAGCCCAGTGCCTGGTGGTTGGCAGGGGGAGGAGCCAGAGTTGGGGACAGCAGCACTGCAAGGGCAGGACTCCTTCCTCTTCCTCCCGATTTCTAAATGCTCAACCCCTCTGGGTCCTAGGAGCTCAGCCCACACAGACCCTCCTGCTGCCTGGGACCTTTGGCTTTCTTGTTCTCACTCTCCCCACTTCAAGAGGCTTCCCCAGCAAGAGAGGGCCACCAAGGCCTCAGCGGCACACAGCACTTGGGCCCAGGCTGCCCGGCCAGCTGTCAGGCCCAGGTCCCAGCCCGTCTGACCTTGGCCTCCAGCGTGGTCAGCCGCTCACTCATGTCGCTGAGCCGAGTGCAGTTCATACATTCTGAAAGAGAAGAGAGACTGAGGTGAGGACAGAGTAGGCGCTGGGAGAATGCAGCCCGGGCACAAGGACAGCCTCTGGCAGGCAGGCAGAGAAGTCTCCAGTCCATCCTGGAAAACTCTTACTCATCCTTGAGGGATTTATCTTCAGGGCCCTCTCCTCCAAGCAGCCTGCCAGACCTCTGAGCCCCTAGTCAGCACTGGGCAGCACTGGGGAGGCCATTAGCACAGAGTGCTACACGGCAGGGGTCCTTGTTTATTCCGTCTACACAGCTATGAATCTCAGTGCCCGGCACAGAGCAGGGACTTAAAAATATCTGGTAACTGGTGAACAGTTGATCAATGAGATGCACTCCCTGACTTGAAGAATTACAAAGGCAGAAGGAGACGGGGAACAGGCACAGGCTGGTAAGAACAAAGCAGGCTGTAAGAGCAGAATATTGCAAAGTATCATGGGGATTGTCAAAGTCAGTCCTGGGGGGGAGTCAGGGGGATATCTGGAGGCAGTGGCGTCTAAGGTGAGACCTGAGGGATGCACAATGGTTGGCCAGGTTGGTGTGGAACAGGGCAGGGTCTGCTGGCAGCCTGGCCCAATTAGAGCACTCCTAGGAGCTGCCCAGGCTGGAGACATGCATGAACCCTAACACCAGGGTCTTCGGAGAGGGGTGCAGGAGGCAGTGTCTGGAAGCCGATGGGCAGCCCTTAGAGGGTTTTAGGCAGTTGGAAGTCAAGGTCAGATTTGCATTTTGCAAATCACTCTGGTAGCAGAATGTGCCATAGGGGGGAGTGGGAGGGACTAGAGCCTGGAAGGCCAATTAGGAGGCCAGTAATGGCTGACCTCTCAAGCACAGATCTCCTTGGGTTGTAATTATCTATTTATGTCTGTCTCCCCCAAGACCCAGAGCTCTTTAATGAGGAAATAGATGGTTCAAAGCTTTTCTAAAGAGCTTTTATTGCTCGAGAAGTCAAGGGGCACCTAAATTCCTCTTTTTTTTGGCTCAGTTCAAAGCCTGACCCGGCAGGAACCCTGTTCTGGTTAAACAGACACACAGTGGTATTTGGGTAACACAACAGCTCCTACTCCGTGTGCTGGGGCTGACTGTCAGGAGCCACTGGAGGCGGCGAGGTCTGCATGGCTCCTCCCTCCATGCTGTCAGCCAAACCCATCCTTGGAGATCTCCCCATCTCTGTCACTGAGCACAAGCCGCCTTGCTCATTGACTGTTCTACCCTGTGAATCTTTCACACGAGGTCCTAGAACTATGGGAATAAGAGGTTCAGGCTATGTCCGCTGTATCCAGGGGTGCCTAGCCACGGGCCAAGGAAGGCTCTCACCAGGCCCTCCCTGCACCCCAGCCCCGCCGGGGTCTACAGGAAGGCCCATGTAGCCAGCAGAGGCCCTCACTCTCATCTCCCTCCCTTGTGCCCTTGGCTGGGCCAAGTCAGTGGTTTCTAAGATTTTTTGTTGTTGTTTTGGAGCAGTGCTCTGTTTTACCCTCCATAAAACCTTGTTAGTAACCCCAATACATCAAACACATGAAAGACTGAGGTATAAACACTGAGCATTAAAACAAGTAGAAGAATGTATACAGTTTCCTGACTCTGGAACGGGGCAGGACTTTGCAAAGACAAGAGATAGAGGGAGATGGCTTTCTGGTTAAACATGATGGGTTGAACACATACGTTCCCACTAGTTTCTCCCAGGAAAAGACTGGTAAAGAAATAACAAAGTAAAACGCTTACGAAGCAAAGAGAAAGGCAGATAACGACTACAGGATGGGATGCAGCCCGGTGTGTGGTCCTGGCCTGGCCCCGTTGGGAGGTCAGAGTCACTAGGCTGTCCAGAGACCGGGGAAGCTCAGGCGGGAGAGAAGAGGGGTCTTCTCTGGAGACGGGGACCCACCAAAGAGAAAGGCCCACTGACATGCATTTAGGGAGCTCCCTGATTAAATGGCTGGGTCACCCAAAGGCCCAGGGGGCTTTTAGTGCTGGCTGGGACACCCAAAGGCCCCTCTGAGGGGGTTTAGTGCTGCTCTCAAATTCAGACAGCCAAGAATTTCCCTTAATAGGAAGAGCAGAGATCAAAATGACCAGAATTCATCTGTTACACTACCCTCCACCCATCCCTTCCCTTCCCTTCCCTTCCCTTCCCTTCCCTTCCCTTCCCTTCCCTTCTCTTCCTTTCCCTTCCCTCTTTCCTTTATTTCTTCAACAAATGACAGAGACAAAGAGAGACAGAGAAGGACAGAGACAGGCACCCCCAAGGAGGTCTTCATGCCACAATCCACCCGCTGCTCCAGTCAGCCCTGGATCATGAGCATGCATAGGCCTGGTGCTTGCAGGGAGGTCTTTGGGGGGAATCTAGAATTTTCTTATGTGGGCGTGGGTCAGCCTCACAGAGCATTGCACCACCACAGTCACTCCTTTCACCCTTTCTTTTCTTCCCACCCTTCCCTCTATTCACCTACCCTACCCCAGCCCATCAGTCACTCTCTATCCACCCTCATCACTCGCCCTGCCCCCGACCATCCCCTCATCCACTGGCGGTGGTAGGTGTCCCGGAGGCCCTGGTCGAGGCTGTGCTGACCCTGACAGGGGTGCACAGCAGGGCAACGTGGGGGGTGCCTGACCTCAGGGACTGTCTGCTCGGGAGCAGAGGTCCATGAACTCCTCAGCACCCCTGTCCTCTGGGCTGGCAGGATGGCTCTGATAAAGTCCCAGCTCCACACTGCCCACACAGGCAGACACCACCCCACCCTGAGAAGGAGGTAGCAGTGCAAGAGGGGGAGTTCTAGTTAAAGTCCCAGGGCGGGCCCAGGGCACTGGGTGAACTACACATTCTTTTGGCACTTTGGGGCCAGGAACAGAGCGTTTCCAGGGACTGAGGCAACAAATAGGACCCCCTGCATGGGGGAAGGTCAGGAGGGAGGGGGAGCCTGCGCTCTCGAAGAGACCTATTTCTGGAAAGTGTGCTGGGCCCGGGCCCAGTTTGCTCTGGCACCAGGACCCTGCTTGGCAGGTGAGGAGCGGCTTGGCTGTCAGCGGGCACAGAGGGGTGGGGTGAGAGGCAGTTCCCCAGCTGCAGTGAGGCCCAGGAGGCCCAGCCAGCTCCAACTCCCCATGCCACCAGCTCAGGCAGGCTCCAGGACTGGCCGAGTTTACAGCTCCCTTGGCATCTGTCATTGACAGGCAATTACAGTGTGTTTGTTTAACTTTCTCGAATTATTCAGCAGAGCTGTGGAAACACAGAAATGGCACTGGTGGGGAGGATCGCGTCCTCTCCTGCTCTGTGACCTGACAAGGCCCTGCTCGTCCCAATCTGGGCCTCAGTTTCCCTTGCTGAGACGCAGGCCCTGTGCTTCTGGGACTCAGAGGGTCCCCATGTTCTCAGTGTCTTCTACTACATACAGCCCTTCAATTGCCCAAGGCCATGGCACATTTTCTGATGTCTCGAACATGGGCAAAACCAGCCAATGCCTGTTACACCAGAAGTATCGCTGCACCAGGAAAACCACTGTGTGTGTGCACGTGAGACAGAGAGAGAGAGGGAGAGAGGGAACGGACTGCTCAGTGTGGTCAGGGGATGGAAACTCTTGAGGCCTGTGTCATCTGTCACTAACTCACCATGTGGCTCTCTCTCTGCACCTCAGTCTCCCATCTGTAAAAGAGACTTTCAGGGACCAGCAGTTAGCATAATGGCTATGTCGCTGGACTCCCACATACTCGACCATGGTTCATGTCCCAGACCTGGTGGCTTAAAACTCATGTCGGGCGCGTATGCATGCGTGCCCCCCCAAGATCCTGAGAGGAGAATTGAGGAGAAGGGATTGCGGCGTGGCCATCCCTCCTGGGGGGTGATTTCTCGCTTTTTGTCTCTCTGTCTCTCTCTGTCTGTCTGGTGAGCGCACGGGCCCGAAAGCAAAAAAACCTCTCCCCCCCACCT